AAAGACTAAGGACTACACGAAGATAGGGAAGGGAGGAGGGAGGGAAGGGAAGGGGAGGAAAAATTGTAAGATGCTAAATAATACGGAATGTAAACGTGATGGATAAAACAAATAAAAAATAATCAAAAAGAAATCACTTTCCCCTGAGTTAATAATAGCTTCTGAAGATGGAAGAATTGTAGTAGTTAAAATTTAAAAAAGGGGAAAGAAAGTGTGTTACTTAATAACTATGCCCCAAATCAAAAGCAAGACCCCGTCTATAAATGTTTATATGACACCATTAATAAGTTGCAGTTTGATAGTATATATATACTAGGCAACTTTAATGCAGTTCTCAAAGAAAAAATTGATAGGAAATCCACTGAAAAAGGGAAGAAACCAGGCCAGACTCTTCCAAAGGTTTTTTTAGATATGGTGGAAGAATATAAACTAATTGATATATGGAGAACTAGAAATATCAATATGAAAGATTACACCTATTACTCGGCTAGATACAAGGCCTGGTCGAGGATAGACATGATTTGGATGTCAGCCAGTGGATTACATGACATAATGGAAGCGGACATACTATCTAGAACATTTGCAGATCACAACCCAGTAACAATACTCCTTAGAGAGACACGAAAGAAAATGAGATGGAGGATGAATCTTGGTCTTTTAAGAGATCGGAAGTTTATTAAAGACACAAAAGTGGAGATTCAGGAATTCTTTAAAAGGAATATGCAACCCGGAGATATCTATCACAACAATCTGGGATACATTTAAGGCTTTTATCAGAGGTTGGTGTATCAGTCAGGAGTCATGGAGGAAAAAAAGAAAACAAGAAGGATATGAAATATTAGTTACATCAATTAGGAAAATGACTTCGTTATAAACATTCAAAATACATATGTCTCTAAAAGTCTGTTTTACCTATTCACCACACCATAAATTTTCAGTGCAATCAGTTGCTTATATGATAGATCAGCGTCTAATGCCAAGTGTCTTAATCTTTCTTTGGTTGGAGTTCTTCATCAAGTTGCATTTCTTCTTCTTGAGTTAAGTGAATTTCAAGTATTTTTAGGATGGTTTTTCCTGACTTTGCATCTGAGATTTGGTGTTGAGTTCCATTTCTGAAAATCAATATGTCCGAAGAGGGATTCCATCTAAAGTGAATCTTAGAGTCAAACAATTTGTTGGCAAAAAGCTTCAAAGATTTTCTCTTCTCTAGGGTTTCTGCTGAGAGGTCTAGTAGAGTTATAGCCTTTTTGTCGTTATAAAGTAGGGAGCCTTTTAGACGTGCTTCTTTAAGAATTCTATCCCTAGATCTTGGGTATAGAAAATGAGCCAAAATATCTCTTGGTCGTCCAAATATCTCTGGCAGCCCTTGCCAACGGACCGAGTCTATTTATTTATTTATTTACTTACTTACATTCAATTATTTATTTACTTACATTCAATTTATATACCGCTCTGACCCCGAAGGGTCTCTGAGAACCTTTCTGAATCTTCTCTCATTGATACTTTTCACTTTCAATGTCTTTTATATTTTAAGTCTGACAGCACATCTCAGTCACAAAAATGTATGTTCAATTGTGAGGATTAAAAATGTGCTTGATTATTATTTTTTATGTTTTATGAATGTATTATAAGACACGTCTTGTTTCTGCTTCAACAAAACCAAATCTATGCTCAATTTGGCAGGATGTAACTGATTGTATAATTGTCTGTGTTCAGTAGCTTTAGAGCCAACATTTTAGACTCAAAGACAATCCAGACTTTGTTGCCTTGAAAATAAACATTGGCAGGTTTACTCTTTTTAATTTCTATTTATTGTTGTTATTGTTATTACAATAACACCATGAGTTAGTGACAGACTGTGAACTAAAGGATCATATGTTCTGGGAGTAAATTCAACTCTCATTCCATTGAGATGGTTGTAAAAGCAGTACAAGCAACTGGATCAAAGGCTTTTTCAAGCAGGGCACTAGACTTCAAGAAAGGGAAGGAAAAAGACCCCCGTGACATGTGACAGTTCTATCAGTAAGTTCCAGCAGGCTGTGAACATTTTGTAAACCTTGAAGGACTGAACAACTAGACAGCAAAGAACACAGGGATGCCAAATGTGTTTTAATATGTGATTTTAGGAGCTTCATGAAGTCTGCAATCACAAGGCTAGTAATATACTCACGTGTGTCTTTCTGCTACAAAGATAGATGTTTTAATTCTTACATGGCTGAATAAAAAGTCTGGAAATGAATCTGCATTAGTAATATCCCAGTTCCCTGATTTAAATTTCACTGTGATGTAGATCTCAGGCTTTTAAACCAGTCAAAATGATTGTGGGTGTTTGAGTGATCCTCTTTGATCTCTGTCATTTATTAAGTTCTGTATTAGCTTGAGTTCTGAACCAGAATTGTAAATACACCAATCAGAGCCATGCAATGTTCTGGAGGGAAGCACTCTGATTGGACCTTATTTGTAAATAGTGATTGGTTGTTAGCTGACTTGTGGGCTTGGCTACCTAAGCCCGGACTGTTTAAAAGAGAGCTTGTTGCTCTGTGTTTTTGTCTCATTCTGATTTCTTCTGACTTCGTTAATAAAGCTGATTCACTGTTCACTAGCTGTGTTGAGTCTCATACTTAACAATCTCTGACAACTACTCTTTTTCCAGCAGGTGATTAATGACAATTAACTACAAGCCTCAAAGTATGACAGCTATTTCCATGGTAATACTACCCCCCTGAAGGTCCTGATCCTAGAACGATATTTTAACAAATGTCCAAATGTCAGGGGAGAACTTGTTTTGCCCTAAAAGCAAGCAAGCAAACAAACAAAACAAAAAAATAGAAGATCATTGCAGTGCCACAGAGTAATATATTTCTAAGCCAAATACATATTTCTTTATAGTCTACTATGCATATTTGTAGGCTTTCTAGTTACTTCCTATTGCTAAGTTTCATTACTCATATTCAGTATGTTACATGTATTATATAAACTATGTCAGTATAACTGTGCAACTGGAAAATGAATTTGTGATGTTGCTTTTTTCTCAAGAGTGTATACTCTGAGGATCTTCCTGCTGACAAAAGAAAAGAACATCAGTTCATTGTGGGATACTGACATCATGAAAAGGGATCCAAGAAAATCATGTCCCAAATCCAGAGAACGTTAATTGTGCTTAAATTTTACTGAAATTAGTGTGGCTTATATTAGTCACAGCTAACTTGGCCTACTGACATCAATGGCACTTAAGTACAATTTTCTCTGATTTGAGCCCTTGAGCCTCAGTGAGATAGTTACTTCAAGAATTATTCTACCTTTATATTCCTCAATGGGCAAGAGGTTGAGAAAAAGACTAAATACATTATGTAGCGTGATCCTTACTCTCTAAGACATCTCTGGCTGGGATACTAGAAGTGATCCTGAATTCTGTTCTTTCTCCAGATGTCCCCCTTGATAGGACAGTCCTGTTGAAACTGCAAACATTTTTTACTAGTTCGAACACCTTACAATGTTGTTTCCATGTTAATTGACTTCACAGCAGCGGATCTCCAAAAAAAATTGCTAGGACAAACTCTGTTACGTGGGACTTCTAAAATTATTCTTGGAAGTTGGTTTAAATGAAAAATTCCCACTGCACTTACACTAACTGCTGGACTGCATAGATGTAGACAAAATATGTTAACAACTACAGGCCTATTGTCACAAATATACATTTTAACCATGACGATGGTTAAAATTCACATATGTACACCAAGCATTTTGGAAATCATTTTATTTTGTAAACTCCTTGGGCAGGTTGCTTGGAGAGCTGGCAAAGTAGTTTTCTAAATAAATAAACTCATATATTTGCTTCTAGATTTCATGGGAATGGTATGTGCAACGAAGCAGATTATCACAGGTTATTTCCCCCCCAAACTTCTGTCCCATCCCAGAGACCCACTAAAACACAGAATGGTACATAACAAACAAGCAACAGTAGATGAATGATGTATCCAGTCATATCAAATTGATTAAAACTACACCCTCTTGTGTCATAGATGCAACGAACATGAAACTGAGCACACTTCAGAGGACCGTGGAAGACCGGAAGGCCTGGCGGGAGCTGGTCCATGGGGTCGTGGAGTCGGACTCGACTGTGCGACTGAACAACAACAACACCCTCTTTGCTTAACTGCAACCATCATAAGCCAAGCCCATAGAAAAATGCCTTACAATTTTGCCAGTAAATAGTTTAGTTCAGACTCCAGTGGCCATCTCTGGGAACAGAATTTCTCACTTTTAGAACAGCCACTGAATACATCTCTCTGTTTCTATCTCTGGCTGTTTTCACTTGGTTCCCGGCTTGTATGATCCAGAGTGTGCTCTCCATTGGTCTAAAACCCACAATGGAATGGGAAACGGTGTGAATATTGCATCTACTCCCATTTAGAAGTTAGGTAGTTGCTACCTGAAAGCCACTTTTTTTTGCATATAATAGCACTAAGAAATCCTCTTTTCACCTTCCACATAAACCAGACAAAAAAAGACTGAACCTCAGGGTTGTTTTACAGCGTCTGTGACAATGTTGACGATTTAATTCCAACCAGCAGAGGGCAATGATGAGCGTCATGTATACATATCAAATCAATATAAATCCTGACTGGTGTTACTAAATTATAAGAACGAATCGGGCTTTTGTACGTGACAGCGTTTCTGGCTTTTGATTTTACATCGTGCGCCCTTTAACCACCCCCGGAAAACCCAGGCTCTTGCTAGCAGGGAAACTGGAGAGGAGAAGAAAGAACTAAAGAGGAGAAGAAGAGGGCAAGGTTGCATCAGTCGATTTCTTAAAGGAGGGGGGAAGGCTTTTATGTATGTGTGCATTCAAATCGACTTTGCTGTTCATCCCGCTGGATGACGTAAGCGCTGTGGGACTGGGGAGTGTCGCCGGTCTGGCTCCCCGTCCGGTGACGTCTTCCATGAAAAGCAGGCACGTGACCCAGCTCCATTCACACACAAAAAAAGAAAAGAAAGTCGAAGCGGCAAACTCCGGCTAGGCTATATAAGGCAAGGCGCCGAGTCCAGCGAGGAAGCAAACTACACCAGCCACACGAGAAGAGCGGAGAGGCTGCCAACAAACGAGAAGCGCAAAAGCAAAGCGGCGCCTCCTTCATTTACCCCGACCAGATCCAGCCACCTTTGGGATTCCGAAAAAAATATCAAAAAACCCAAGACCCAGCGAAAAGAGATTTGGTTTGAAAAGCGCCAACCACCCTCAGCAAGAACAAAGAAGCCCCCGGTTCCCATCCCCAAGACAAAAGGGGGCTCCGATCCTCCCGTCAGCTCCCAGCATTGACCGTTCGACTTCAGCGCTGCCTCCCCGGTCCCGAGCGACTATGGTCAACATGCAAGTGTGCCCCCTGGATTGTGAGACGCTGCAGGGTCTGCTGAAGGATAGGTCCTTACAGTGCCTGCTCCTGGACTGCCGCTCCTTCTTCTCTTTCAACTCCTCGCACGTCGGCGGCTCCCACAACGTCCGCTTGAGCACCATCGTCCGGCGGAGGGCCAAGGGGGCCATGGGGCTGGAGCACATCCTGCCCAACGAGGAAGTGCGCTCCCGCCTGCACGAGGGGCTTTACCACGCCGTGGTGCTACTGGACGAGCGCAGCACCGACCTGGAGGCGCCCAAAAGAGACAGCACCCTCATGCTGGCCCTGAACACCCTCTGCAGGGAAGCCCGGGACACCCGCATCTGCTTCCTCAAAGGTGAGTCGCTTGACCTTCCAGGGGATCGCCTTCCACGGACTCGCTCTGCCCTAGGAATCAGACACAACACCCTACAACAAAGGCCCACGGGGGATTTTAAAAAGAGAGGTTTCAGGCGGATTCCCAGAGATTTTTCTTTTAAAAAAGAGAGAAAAACGTTTAATTGGAAGGTTTTTATTTCTGCTCCTAATTAAACCTTGTAAAGACAAATGGGGCAGTGCAGTCAGTGGTCTCTGTTTAGAATTACTGTGATTTTCTATACATATTCCCCCCCCCCCCAATGCCTCAAATGTCCTCTGAAAATAGCTAACCATGCTATCTCTTTTTTCCAATTTTCTTACAGGAGGATATGAAGCCTTATTGTCTGCATACCCTGAGTTGTGCACAAAGCCATCTGCTCCAAAGGGCTTGACTCTGCCCCTCAGCACCAACAACATGCCTGGCAGTGCAGATTCAAACTGCAGCTCCTGTGGAACTCCTCTGTATGATCAGGTCAGTTGCAAAGCATGAATGAGTCTGAACAAAAATGCTCGCTTTTCAGCAGTTGCCTTGGAAATGGGGTGTCTGAGAGGAGGGCACCCACAGATAATATTCCATTTGGACCGATATGGCTGTTTAAAAACAAAACAAGTGTTGGAAAGAAGTGTTACCGGTAGATTATGATTAAAGGATAAAGGGAAAATAAGGGAAATTTAAGAATAGGCTGGAGGTTGAAGCACTGAGGGAAGCCAGAGGGGGTGGGATAATGGATAAGAAAGGATATATAATACTTAATAATATGATGTGTATTTGACTTAATAATATATCCTAATAAATTGTTTTTGAAAAAAAACAAGTGTTGGATGTGATAGACAGCAATCTTATAGAGACAGTGGGGATGGGGAAGCTATTTTTGAAGCAGGATTAACAGATCGTGTGTTTCTCTCTTCTCTATTTTAGGGTGGTCCAGTGGAAATCCTACCTTTCCTGTATTTGGGCAGTGCCTATCATGCTTCCAGGAAAGATATGCTGGATGCTTTGGGAATCACAGCCTTGATCAATGTCTCTGCTAACTGTCCGAACCATTTTGAGGAGCACTACCAGTACAAACGCATCCCTGTAGAAGATAACCACAAGGCTGACATCAGTTGCTGGTTTAATGAAGCCATCAACTTCATAGGTAAATGACTTTTCTCTCTGCAGCCTACAAGTCATAGTAATGAGCTTATATTATCCCTGGGAGTCAGCATCCTAACCAAAGCCTCCAGCCCTTTTAAAATTGAGATGTAGGATATTATATCTTCAGGGATTAAAATAGCATGACCTGAAATAAATCCGTAGCTCTGTGGGAGCATGAGCTACATTGGAAGATGATGTTGTCAAATGCTAAGAATGTCAGTGGGTTTATAGAAGTCAAATAACCACATCAGGTAGTAATTTTAGCTAGTCTCCTGTTGACAGCATTTTCGAATGCCATTTTTCAAACAAGAATTAGTGGCCAGTGGGAAGAAATTATAAGAACACTCAGGTCAAAACTGAGCACACATACCCCTACTGGTTTCCAGTTCTCCTTCATGCTTCAAACTCCATTCCCAGCAAAGTAGCATAACGCTGTAGATTCTTAGGAAAGGTAACCTTGAAGATCAGAGTGAAAAACATTTTGCAGGAGTGCTAACATGGATGTTTTTACTCCTTTGCAGACTCTGTTAAAAATGAGGGCGGGCGAGTGTTTGTTCACTGTCAAGCTGGCATCTCCCGCTCAGCAACCATCTGTCTCGCTTACCTTATGAGGACCAACCGAGTCAAATTGGACGAAGCCTTTGAGTTTGTCAAGCAGAGGAGAAGCATCATCTCCCCCAACTTCAGCTTCATGGGACAGCTGCTGCAGTTTGAGTCCCAGGTCCTTGCTCCAAATTGCTCAGCGGAGGCTGGAAGCCCTGCTATGGCTGCATTGGACAGAGGCACACCCACAACAACTGTCTTCAACTTTCCAGTCTCCATCCCCGTCCATCCTTCTGCCAATGCACTAGGCTACCTTCAGAGCCCTATCACCACTTCTCCAAGCTGCTGAAAGGCAGGTGCAAATGGACTCTCGACACAAAGACTTGATAACTCTGGCTGTTATCTCAAAAAGTGCAATAACCTGGGGGATGGTTGACGCTTGCTCACATGGGTTTCCTCTCCTTGCAGCTGCAAAGCAATACAGAGTCCTCAGCACAGAGCAGCATATCTTACTCCAGAAAACAAAGTTCTTTTCTGCTAGATCTTCTTGAGATGTATGTTTGACCAACACCTGGATTCCTACAAAGGAGACAAAGCACACTAGACATTGCTTTTTACTCCTGAACTATTCCTCTTAACAATTTTCTGTCTCCCTCTGTCTGTCAGTCTGTGCTTTGATAGCAAACCTTACAGTATTCTGGTTCCTGGGTGTGCTAGGCTAACAGTGACACTGCCCCCTTGTATAAGGAAGACCTAGTATTTATTTATTTTATGGTATAGTTGCATTGTGTGTGTGTGTGTGCTGCCTTTAAAAGTCTCAAATTTCATTTTTTTTTCAAAAAAACCAACACCAAATACCTCAGTATTTTTTGGGTACTGTAATCCTGTAAATATATCTTAAACAGTTTCCTAAGCACTGACATTGAAAGCACAAAGGAGCGTTTGTGGCTTTGGTTGCCAAGGGTGGTATGTTTCCTGGTTTATTTATGACGTGAAATAATATATTTCTTCTTATGATGGAAGACCTGGGGGGATTGTTTATTATGCCTTTTTATACAAATGGAATAAATTATGACATTTCTATTAAAAACGTATTCCTGAAAGAGTTTTCTTTTGATGCTGATAAAAATTGCTGCTGTGAGTCCAGAGAGCCTGCCAGCTGTAGCATGAAGAATGTCTCCTTGTAACAGCTTGCTTTGTGGAGGAGAGTGGTGCCCATAGAGAGGCCAGATACCGACATAGCCCTGAATGAAAAGGCCTGTGCCGTTACCCTGCGTGGATTACAAACAGGTTTCCAGTGAAAAGTCTATGCACAAGTATTGATCAAATGGGGGAAGAAAGGCTTACAAGCAGCTGTGCGTTTCCCAAAAGATGATTGGCAGCACTGTCAACTCTGTCTATTCTGATCATTTGCTGGAAAGGGGAAAAGGGGACCTAGCTTGCATCGAGTAGTCCTTGCCCCACAACCACCACAGATGTTATCAGGTCAAATAGTACAAATTTATCTGTTAAATGGCTGGGAAAGCACAGCAGTGGAAGGTCTGGATTAGGGGCCCTGATCTGCAACTCATTTAAGAAAGCATCCAAGGACATCTGTTAGGACATCCCATCAGCCAGCATCAGTGACTGTTGGAAATTTGAGGGCTAATACTTTTCTATTGCTTAGGGTCTTCATTCAGTTTCTTTTGTACCCATCGTGTTTGTTAGGGCATGCTTGTAATTAGCCACTTCTCTGATATAAAAAGTGAGACTGGCCTGCTCACCCAGAGGCAGAGACCTGCAGACAGTTTCCAAATCAGCCCCGCTGCGTACCGGCTTGCACTGCTGAGAGCTGTGTTACAGAGGCTGTGTGTGGGCCTCTTCTTCTCTATTGGACTGAGCATGGAGCACATAGCATCTCTTGCTAGTGCTCAGCCATAGAAACACCGTGGCAGTGTTACTGGTAGCCGTGCATCCTGGTTCTCTTCCTGTCTGTTGAGAACGGGAGGTGTGTATGTGTGTGGTGGCAAAGGGAAAAATGTGGCAAGGAAGAACAGAAGGAGCTTCCTGTGTTGGAATAGAGCCTAGCTGATTATGCTGTTTGCAATCCTGTCCTTGTTGAATTATAGTGAAGTGCATGTTTCACAAATGGGAGTCTAATGAGAGATGGTCCATTGGCTAAGGTCTGTGGTGATGATGATGATGATAGTCCCACCCAATTTACTTAGGGGTCGCTTCAGTGCACACAGGGTAATGTGGGCCCATACTGCTGCAGTGGGATCTATGCAATGCCAGTTAAATGTCAGTTCTGTAAGAATGACGCATGTCTAGCTGTGGGTAGGATAGCAGCCCGCATGTACTTGGGTGATCTTTATTGTTGTATAGATAATACTTGCCTGTGGGATATTTCACAGGTTTACCAATTATTCCCATTTTGTGAATGAGCACCTGAGCCCATCCAGTTGTAGCTTCCCTGAAGCCAGACAAGCTGTGGCTTATCTGGAATATGAGTTCACTTATTTTTAGGTTCAAGACCAATGTCCAATTATGGGATTAAGCTCTTTTTCACATGTTTGTATTTCTAGGCCTCAGACAAAATCTGTTCCACAAGACCCACCTTTTCCTTTGGGGGAATAATTAATGCATTTTTTTACTGTAAATTGTAGCCAACTTACGGCAACCCCATAGGGTTTTCAAGACAAGAGATGTTCAGAGTAGGGTTGCCAGGTCTGGGTTGGAAAATACCTGGAGACATTGGGGGTAGATCCAGGAGAGGGTGGGGTTTGAAGAGGGGAGGGGCCTCAGCATGGTACAATGCCATAGAGTCCACCCTCCAAAGCAGCCATATTCTCCAGGGGAGCTGATCTCTGTCAGCTGGAGATCAGCTGTAAAAGCGGGAGATCCCCAGGCCCCACCTGGAGGCTGGCAACCCTAGTTCAGAAGTGGTTTGCCATTGCCTGGTTCTGCTTAGCAACCCTGGTATTCCTTGGTGTTCTCCCATCTGAATACTGAGCAGGGCTGACCTAGCTTAGCTTCTTTTATCTGACAAGATCAGGTTAGCCTGGGCCATCCAGGTCAGGGTGTTAATGCAGTTCGTTGTGCCAAAAAAGAAATGGAGACAGCCATTTCAGCTTCATGCCTTTAAAGTCCAATGACTCTAATTTTTTTCTCTGTCCTGCAGACCATGTAAAACAGGCTTGCACAGGTGCAGACAAGAGGAGCTTCTGTCTCAGTGATGTCATCTGAAGTCTGCTAATCATTAACCCAAAGCCTGAAGTCCAGGGTGATGTGTGGCCACTGGTTAAACATGGTGTCATGCTTGTGGAGGCTGGATAGCTGCTATTCTCCACCCCCACCCTGTGATATCTCATTGCAATACTCTGTTAGCAGTTCTCTGTATAAATTCAGGTTTATCGGAGACATGTCCTTAGGAAGTTTTGCATACGCTCTCATTTTCACTTAGTAGGAATTTTTTTTAAAAGATGATCACTCAAGACACAAGAAGAAGCACAAAGAAAAATAAAAGATCCCTAGTGTTCCTGTGCATGTGGACAGTTGAATATCATATTTACAAGTTAACTTCTCTATATCCTCCATCTTGGTAACATTCCTAACACAGATCCTAGTCACATGGGCCGTAAAATGCGGGGGGGGGGGGGGGTTTGGCCCGGGGGAAAAAAACACGCGGCCCCCCGGCAGTTTGGCCCGGAGCAAAATAACGCGCGGCCGCCCAATCACACGTCTCATCGAGGTCCCGTGGGTAGGGGCGAGGTGGCGATCACATGATGATCCTGCAGTGCGGCAAAGAAGCGGCGTGGTGCGATCTCACCAACGGCATGCGTGATTCTGCAGAGCAACGGAACTTTCGCTTTCCTCTTCGTGCGCATGCGCCGTTGGGTGCTTGTGCGCATCCCGTGGAGACTTGGAAAAAAACAGACCTGTTTGCGACAGGACATGGGCGGGCGCCGGATGCCATGGAATACCACCGGAAACGCGATCAAACGCCAGCCCTAGTTTTTAACTCCGCATCTTCGGCGGGAAGTCTCGGGTTCGCCATAGGAGCTCTACGCTTCCTAGATGTTGCGGTGTGATCACGCCTGGAAAATCCACCTATCATCCGTCTCAGTAGCGTGGCTAATGCTCTGTGTGACCGCAGCCACAGTTATTTTTTTCTCCCTTTCTTTGAGGGCTTTAGACACGGTAGCCCTAGGGAAGCTCACTGAGTGATTTTTAGCCAGTCATTATCCTTTAGTGTAGCTGACCTGACAAGATTGTTGTGAAGCTAGAAGCACAGTGGGTGGGCAAAAACCAGGTATACTATCCAACGCTTGTTGGAGAAAGGGCATGATAAAAACAAGAAATAAAGAAGCCTTCAAGGAGCTTTATTTCTTCCCAGGAATCATGCTGTCCCTCCTCCCCTTCCCTTGGCATTTCTTATGTAACAGTTATTTCAGAATAAAATATTTTCCCCCTCTACTTGTGATGTGGGCTGTGCAATGAGATTCCTCCTTCAAACCAAAGCTCCGTCAGTGGAAAAATACAGCCTTGGCAGCCCCAGTCATGTCTGATTAAAAAAAAAAAAATCCACCTGTTTAATTGAATTTCCAATAGAATGTCATTCCGCTATGAGCCACAGGTGCTTGTCTTTATGTATTTCACGAAACAATAGAAAGCATTACCTGGCAGCCAGTTAACTTTACAATCTAAGCAGGCACCTGACAAAGGGGCACAAAAGAGCCATTTGGGCATGATTCATGTTCCGGAACAAACCCACCCCAGCTGGTTGCAGCTTGTGCTCTGAGGTACAAGGCCATACTTTCAAAGAGTTATCAGTGATTTATTATAGAGGGGAAAGCCAAGATTATTTTAAGAAAAAGTTCTTTTTTCCTGGCTGTAGACATTCCCTGATACCACAACTAGAAGCTGTATACATCCACACACACACACACAAACATAAATAGTTAGCTATGCTTAGTGCAGTAGAACTCTCTACTTTATCTAAATTCACAATATAGGATGCTCAGCCAGCTCTTGATTTAACTCTCTTTATGATCAGGGTGTTCTGACTGTCTCTCTGAGTTGGTTCTCTTTATTATTTTTCCATCTGAGTGAAACACAAAAGCTTGTGTGTGTAACTCTAAGATTATATAAGTTTGTAATGACACAGTTGCCTATATCCCCATGGAAACCACCAGGAGTTTCCCTTTTGTGAGAAAGGCAATAACATCACTTCCTGTTGCTGACAACAGTTTGTCATGAAGTGGTAAAAAAGGCCCATTCAGCGTTGGCAAGGGATCTGCTTCAGGATTAGCTGGTTGCCATGCAATGCTACACACACTTAACGGTAAGCATTGTAATCACTGACGAGTCCATGGGGGGGAAAGTACAATTCCAGGGTAAATGATCAGACATTGAAGGCCACAGAGATACATACAATGAAGACTAGGTAAAGAAAACATAACCAGCATGACCCAGGAATTACAGTACACACACACACACACACACACACATACACACAAATACACACACACGGCCTGCAGATCTCCCAGAATTACAACTGATCTCCAGACTTCAGAGATCAATCCCCCTGGAGAAAATGGCTGCTTTTGAGGGTGGACTCTATGGTTGCCAGGTCTGGGTTGGAAAATACCTGGAGACTTTGGGGGTGGGTCCAGGAGAGGGTGGGGTTTGGGGAGGGGAGGAGCCTCAGCATGGTACAAAGCCATAGAGTCCACCCTTCAAAGCAGCCATTTGCTCCAGGAGAGCTGATCTCTGCCAGCTGGAGATCAGTGACAAAAGTGGGAGATCCCCAGGCCCCACCTGGAGGCTGGCAACCCTGCTTCCCTCCCCAAACCTCACCCTCCCCAGCCTGTACCACCCTAATCTTTAGGAATTTCCCAGCCCAGAGTTGGCAACACTACATATGGCACACATAGAATTGTAACTACCCAATTAACTCTTTCTGGGATATTTCCTCTGTCACAATGTCTTTGATTTGTTTTTTAGCAGACTGCCTTTTAAAAGAGAATAAGAGCTTATGCCATGACTA